TGAACGAATTATTAGAATATTAGATGGTATAGTATACGAAGAAAATTTTAAAACTCCACCCTACAGAGATTATATTTGAATTTTGAGAGATCTAAGAAATAAATATAAACGAGAAGATAATATCGTGGGTAGTAATTGCATGAAATTATTAGGTAATTCCTTGTATGGTAAATCAATTCAAAAAGATATATTCACAACTAGACATTTATGGAATGAAGCAACTTTACAGGCTAACTTTGATTCACGTGTTAAAACCTATGAGAAATTAATGATACTCAATATATTGTTGAAACAGAAATTGAAGAAAAAGAGACCGAAGATAGTCAATCTACACGACTAACACCTAGTCATTTGGGATCATTCGTTTTATCTCACAGTAAAAAAATTATGAACAATTTCATTCACATAAATGGATTTTATAAAACCGAAATATACTATACCGACACCGATAGTTTGTACATTTCATCCAACAATTGGAAAAAAACTAAACAGAGCTGGTTTGGTCTCCGAAAAAGACTACTGCAAAGGTAAAAACGATTATGGTGACGGTGGAATTATATTTGGTTTATATTTAGCACCAAAAGTCAAATACAACATCGTTTTGACTTCCGATGGTATTTTAAAAGAAAAGAAAACGTTTAAAGGTTATTCTAATGATAAGATAAGTGTAGAAGATTACGTTCAGTTAGCAAGCGGACATGATGTGTCGAATGAATTTAAGAAACCATGGGAAAAAAGTTTCACCAATTGAGTTATTCCAAATGATAAACAAACTAAAGTTTTTAGAAGTTATTTGAATAATGTTAAAAGAAAACCACCAAACAGTGAAGGAATTATGTATCCTTACAACGACAAAGATGAGTATAGTTTTGATGAAAACTGTGAATTTGATGATTTCGATTATCTTACTATTCAAGAAGAGAATGAAGATTGTTTAAAATGAAGTTGAATGACAATTTCTTCGTTGCCAAAATCTATGAACCTGTTTTTACCGTCTTTGATTTCCAGATTTATATCTTTGATCATGAAAGAATTGACTGGTAAATAGGTCGTTTGAAACGGTTTCTCTATAATTCTGTATCCGATCGGCACCGTAAAAGTCGGTATGCTGTATATGATTTGGCGTTTGTGCTTGTTGAAAAATCCACCGTTGATCAAATTACAGCGAATGTTGATCACGTCGATGTCGTTCTCGATGTTGGCCTTGTGTGGCGCCAATGTCGATTGCGCGTATATTCGTTTATCGAACCCTAATAACGCATTCAACGAATTTTCAACGTTGAAATCGACTTGATTGTTATTTCTCAAGATCAGTTTTATTTTGTTCAGATTCAAATTACCTTCGAATTCGATATTGTTTTTACCGCTCACGCTTCCTGCGTATTCGTTGATGGCTACATATTCGTAGCTACCCGGTAGTAAGCTTATGGTTTTGAACGTAACTCCGTTATCCGTCGATATTTTTAGTTGATTGTTTTTTTTCGTTGATGTTTCTAATGGAATTGTAAACGGAGAAATACTTTAATCCCAGTTCGTACTGTTTATGCGATCGAGTTCATACTCGTAGTCTAGAGACAATTTGATATCTGAATTATTCGAGGTGATAACGAACAATTGCTCTTTATTGGACATTTTTAATGACGTTTATATAGTCTTTTTTAGTGATGATTTTTTTCTCCAAAAGCCGTTTTAATATGCCATTGACTTCGTTGTATTGTCTGTCCGATTGATGACCTTCCTTCATGGCCACTAATATTACTCGTAATCTATTAACTAGTTCCTCGTTGTTATCTGGTAAAAAAGTTATACCTTGCCCAGATGCCACCATATCATCGAATTCGTCTATTTCTTATATGATTGGATTGTTGTCTTCAACATAATCATCTACTTTGTCAACTTCGTATTCATCATCATGTTCAATTGCTCTTATATATAGTTTAACTTCTTTCAATCTTCTTGTTTCGGGTCCTGACTTTCTGATCGCATGTAGAAATTTTGAGTTTGCTACTAAATCCTTGTAATCAGCAATTTCAACGTCCTTGCCATTCATTAAATCTATTAACCCTCTCGTTAATGTAAATATAAAGTCTTAATACCACCATATTCAATCGGTGGATCTTTATGAGGTGAAGGTATAGCGAGTCTCTTTTTAATATCTTCTTGACTTTTTAATATGGGTTGAAATAGAGTCTGTAGATTTTCCGTTAATCCGAGTTGTTGTAATCTGTTATTTTCAACTTGGGTCTTTATTTTATACTTAGCTTTGATATATTCTCTATTTCTTTTTAAAATATTATTCCAATCCGTCATTTTTAAAAAAATAAAATTAACATATGTTGATTATAACTCTTTCTCCCGCAGGTTTTCTAGTATTAACAAATACATATCCATGATCATCCGGGTTTCTCCATTCAGCTTTACAATCCTTTTTGAATGTATCCCTGTCCATCCCTGATTTTCCGTTAATCCGAGTTGTTGTAATCTGTTATTTTCAACTTGGGTCTTTATTTTATTCTTAGCTTTGATATATTCTCTATTTCTTTTTAAAATATTATTCCAATCCGTCATTTTTAAAAAAAAAATTAACGTATGTTGATCATAACTCTTTCTCCCGCAGGTTTTCTAGTATTAACTAATACATATCCATGATCATCCGGGTTTCTCCATTGAGCTTTACAATCCTTTTTGAATGTATCCCTGTCCATTCCGTGATTTATCGACTGAATGATTTGAGATAAATCTTTGTCGTTTAATTCGAATAATAAAAAACAATTTGCGTTCTTTCTGATAAATATGGCGTCCATTCCGTAGAAAGATTGGGATTGGTATATGCAGTGACAGTTGTGATTTCTTCTCTTCGTGAAGAATTCTTGCTGAACGGTTTGACTTTTTTGTGCCACGCAGTCGTCAAAGAAAATCAAGTTCTTTCGGTGGTTGTCGATTTTAGACAAGTCTAAATCGTTGACGTTTTTAGTCAGAAACACTTTGACGTCGGTCGGTTTCAGAGAAGGATTCTTTTCTTTGATAAAGCCGTCTAAAATGTCTTTTATTTCCGCGTTCTCTTGCAAGTCTTCGTTGATTTCATAGTAGTGAAAAATGTCTTGAACTTCTTCTTTCGAGATGTATTCCAAAGCTTTGAGAAACTGATAATAGGATTGTTCGGGAGTAGTCGTGTAAATATACAGAGACTCGAAATCTAAAAGGTTTGGTGTTGTCAACATGTTAAAAGTGAGGTAAGTCTTTCCACAACCCGAAGATCCGCAAATGCACATGAGAATGGGGTTGCTAGGAAATATATCCGAATGTTTGAATTTCTTGCCCATTTTTATTTATTACATTTTCGTACCAAAAATCACCCCGTTGCCTTTATACTTTGAAAGAAAGATTCCCTCGCCCGAACGTATGTTTTTAAAAAATATGGCGTTGCCCTTGTGTTTGACTGTTATTTCTCAGGTGTCGATATAATTTATTAATTTGCTTAATCCCTCTTTAACGGTTTTCTTGGTTTCTTCGCCAAATCTTTGTCCGAATTCTTTAACCGTCCCTAAAATATCTCCTACTCCCGAACCTCCTCGTGCTTTTCTTTCCATTGCCAAATTGTGTCTACGTGCTTCTGCGTTTGCAGCGGCTTCAGCTTCCTTATCGTTGACAGCTTTGGCTATACCAGCAGCCCCACCAGCAGTTGCTTCTGCTGCAGCTAAACCAGCAAAGATTAAAGGTAAGAAAGGTAAAAATCCACCTTTTTTAGTTAAATTCTGATCAATTCTTTCCAAGTCTATATCGTCTCTGACTTTCCAATGTTTGTATTTATCGATAATCTTTTGGGTGCACTTTTTTACCGTTGTAAGTTATTAGAGTCGGCGAATTCGTTTCGATAGCTTCTATTATTTTCAGAACTAAAGTTTCTGGTTTCATTTTTAAAGGGTGTTTTTTATTCAATTCTTATCATTCTTCTATCTGATATTTTAATCAAATGTTTTGCTTCTTCCAGCAATAAACAGTAGCCGGTCACATCTCCTTGTGTTTTATCGATGTGAATATTTATGTTTACCCCTGTTTTGAAAAGATCTTCTTGATGAGCTGACAGATCGAAACAAAAGATTGGATGATTGAGTGAAAAATCTGTGTATTCAAACTGAGGCGTATTTCCAAACAATTCGCACATGTTTTTATAGTTTCTGTACAATTCGTTGTAATCTTTTTTTGGAAGGATCAATTGTCAAAGGTTGATTGGGATAATTATCGTTGTTCAATCTGACTTGAACTTTGCGAATATACTTGAGTATGGTTCAATGCCACTCTGAAAATGTTGTTGTTGTTTGTCTGAGAGTCTGGTAAGTTTTTGAAACCGACCATTAGATATCTCGCTGGTTTGGCGGTGTTGGTGATTGGCCACGTGGTGGATTCTCCCGTTAAAGTCATGCTACCTACCGTGTTACGACGAAGAAAAGCAATTTCGATGTCTTTGGTTAAAGAGTTGAATATTCTCGTTTCCACTTCTACGGAAGGAGTGATTACCGGTATGTAAAGTTGGATATTCGTTATTTCCAATTTTGCGTCAGAGTTGTTTTCACCAAAGAATATCTTGTTGTCGTTGATTTCTCTTTGCAAATGAATCTTATACGGCAAACCTATGGAAACTTTTCTGTGTTCCAAGAGACCAAATAAAGGATACAACTTCCAATTTACGTATTTACCCCATCTGTTGTTCTCGACAACATTGTTGTATTGAAGCGCTCGTTTTTCAAATCCGTGATTTACTCCGCGAGACACTCTTTCCAGTGTGTTTCTAGCAACTACCCTTATCCTAGCAAGGTCTGCGTCATTTGCTACAGTTCTGACCGGTTCTTTTAAAACTTCTCCGTCACCGACATCGGAAATCCATCCCGAAACTGAATCGTAGTTTTTGGGATACATAACCGTTTTCAACATTGTGTCAAACTCACTGGGGTGAGTCTCTATCGGATTTGAACCAGCTTCCAAAACCATTTCGCTGAATAAAGACGGAAAGAAGTTGTTTTCTAAAGTCGTGTTGGTTTGTGGAATTCGATTCTGAGTGGCGTCTTTGATTTTGAAATCGCATCGGAAATGGGCATCGGAAAGTAGCAACCAATTGGTCAACTCTTCCTCCGTCGTTTATTTGGGTCTTTGTCCCTACCGATGGTGAGATGATTACGTAATCCTCTTTCTTTTTGTTGAACGAATATTGAATCGGATCATACAATTGAAAGATTGGATCCATCTGTAATTTTTGCTTCCCATTTTTATCCAATGATTTTAAACCCTTTTCCTTGTTTTTCTAGGGCTTGTCGTTCTAGTCTCTTGTTTCTTAGTTCTCTTATTAGCTGCAGTTCTTTAAGTTCGTCAGATTTTTTCACTGCATCGCTAATATTTACTCCTGCTTTTGCCACAGAACCAAGAGCTTGCGCTTCTGAGGAAATGAGGGATTTGTTGTTTGAGACAAAGTTGGCCACTTTGAGGATGAGAGATGTTAGCGCAGAGAAGAAACCGTCTACTTCGAATTTTTTGTTTGTTTGTGTTTTAAAATTAAAGACATTTTTATACAGTATTATTATAGTGATTCTTGTCTGTGGTTGGGTAATTTATATGGAGTCTGTTATAATACAGTTTGGAGGAGTCTGTTATAGTACATTTTTAGCAGTTTGGGGGAATCTGTTATAATACATTTTAGCAGTTTGGGGAATCTGTTATAATACATTTTAACAGTTGTGTCTTTTCGGATATGACGCATTGAAAAAGTCTCTAAAAGACTACAAACTTAAAATCAGTCGACCTTGTACCGCGAGTTATATGGTAGTAGTGCTGTAAGAACGCCTTTCTGGTGTGACGAGGCTATAATGTATTTATTTACGTGTAATGTTTAATATTACTGATTATTAAAGGTAAAAACTTTGGAATTACGTCATCATTCGTAGTCTACTGCGCATGTACACAGGTAAAAGTATACGTCCTCCCTCAATATCTGAGATCATTCCCGGCATTATTCCTTTACATTATGTTCAATTTTTGTCATATTATTACTAAATGCACAATCCTTATGAAAATCTCACTATATTGAGTGATTGTCATATCGTAATTTGGTAGTGAATTCGATTTGTGATTCTATTTAGATTAACCTTGGCATGCAAATGTATCTTAGTAGTGACCATAATTTTTATGGTATATACACCAGAAAAAGATCACTAACCTTTGTATCAATTGCACTCGTTTGTAGAGATCGTTAGTTTTTCTTTGGCCACAAACATAAAGACATTGTCATATCCCAGTGCCCAAAACCAAAATATAGTCGAGGGGTAGGCTAATATCACATCGTAGGAGAAGGAAAGGGCCAGATTTTTCGAGCTATTTGCACCTTCTGAATAAAGTCATTGTGTGTAACAAATAATATCGACGTAAACACTTTTAATCAATTCTACATACTTCTGTGTGAAAATTACAAAACATTGTTTTTAACGCATATTCATTAAAAACAAGCAAGTTAAAAATAATCTTATAAAATTAACAACACCATTTTCATACAGGCTATATTGATATACTGTTGAAATCTAGGATACAACATGTTTCAAATGTCGATTAGGCGTAGAACACGTGACCTTACGCCCACGTTTCTAGAAAGTTCCAGCCATTAAGCGAACGGTACTCGCTAATAAAACAGACATTTACGACTTTTATAGCATTTGAGAATATATATCAAGATTACACTTCGATTCCTGGTGCTTTCGCACACACTAATATCCCTCAAATTCTTATGAATTAATATAGATTTATATATAAAATGTACCTGAAGAGAGACAAGTTTAGTTTTTGTAAGTTTTAATGGCGACGAAAAGAGAGAGAGAGAAATTCCTACGCGAGGAACCTAATCACTCAAATATCACCAGACCAATTCCATTGCTTATTAAAACTAGATTTATCTCCCTCGATTTTGTTTTGGGTAGTCTACTCATTTCGTTCACAAAGCACCACATTTTTGTTATAAAAAGAAACAAAATTTTTGAGTGTTTGTCCCTCACAAAGTAGCCAAAAGTAATACAGTCAAGTAGCCTAAATTCGTGCAAAGCTAATTTCGTGTATCGTTTGCACGTTTTAATAAACTTTGTTACATGTTTGTCTAGGGTGGGGGCCAAATGACTTGGTTGAACCAGCAACTGTAGATAAAATGTTCATATTTTTTTATGAAATATATTAATAAGAATCTGCTTCTCGTTTTGTTTTCCCGATCAGTCGCTAAAACGGGAAAGAAAATAAGACCCAATGACAGGGAGTTCGAGCTAATAGCCCCGACGGGAAAATATTAACTCAAGTACACATAAAAATCAGCATTGAAAAAAAGCAATAGTTTCATTTTTGCGGATAGGAAGGCCAATACAAATTAAAAATGGCAAAACGAGCGTACTTTATCGTTCTATCGCGGCGAATTCTAAAATCTCTTAAGAAAAATAGCTTGCATGCCTGCCAATGTCGACTTCGAATTTTACGCCTGTATGCGTAACTTTTTTGTCTATTATTCTTTAAAAATTGAGAAATTTGAGGTAACTATATAATTGATTTATTTATCAGATATTCGAAAGTTTTAATTTCGTGTTCGGGAATTACAGGCTAGAAGTTTCAAAAGGGATAAGGTTCTAGTTTTAATCGAAATCAAATCACAAATGTAGCCTCTATCGCATTCACAACTAAATTACGGTGTTTTTGACTAATTTAATGGCAATAACCCAATTCTTACAGATTCGCGAATATCAATCCCGATATACATGTACATTCAAATATTAACACAGTTTCTTTAACCTCGCCGAGACCTTAGACGCATTCGCGCATTTCGAAAATAACTCATTGAAAAATCTAAAAAATATATTTTTTCAAATTAGTATCTATCATCAAATTTATTGAAAATTATTATTTGTAAACTTTATCAAGCCGAGCCAAAAACTGGTCCACCAGTCTAGGAAATTGTCTTAAACGAACTTCAACAAACAACAAACACTAGATATAATGTGGCCTAATTGGACAAATAAAATTAAAAAATTAAAATGCGTAACAGAAATAGTGATGAATTAGTAGTGGTTTGCAAAAGGTGGATAGGTTCAAAAAAATAATAGATAGATTAGCGGTAGATTTTAGATGGAGTAGATCTATTACTGTTGGATTGGATCATTCTATTACCCGATTACATTTTAACAACTAACTCCCTAAAATTAATAAATGCATTATGATTTGGACTGATGAAGATAAATATTGATGAAAACTGGATTGATGGTATTTGGTTACAGTCTGTTATGTTGTACTCTAGCTGTCCAGTTAGTTGTTGATCTTGGAAGCAAAGTTGTGAACTATTAAATGTTATATCGTCACACTGTCCACTGGTACTAATTTGAAATTCGAAGCCAATTATTCGATCAAAAATATCTACAAAATATAAATTTGTGATTAAATAAACGGAACAACAACCACGTATCTTAAAAATTATCTCTATATCCTGTAAATAATTTTTAATTTTGATACTTAATTGACAAAAACTAAAAAAATCTAGAGCAACGCGTGGCACAGAGTGGGACTAATGTGCCAATTCAAAAGAGGATCTGAAAAAAAAATCGACCTTCTAGGCTAATTTGCAAAAAAAAATTGTCTTTTTTCGAAGATTGTAAAACCAGGAGTATATGTCAGAATCTTAATATGAAAGTATCAGCAGATTGCCAAGGTCAATGACGCTTGACTTTGTTAGGGTTAAGGGGGGAGGTCAACATAAGCCAAAGTCACATCGAAAAATATCAGAAAACTCATCAAAATAGTTTCGCCCTTAATACCCTCCTTTCCTCCCGTCCGACTATATAAGTATCGGGATTTTTAACGTGCACAGCCTGTAGCACACGGGGCCTCGGTTTATTGTCATATACGAACGACTAAACACTTCCATGGCAGCCCCTCTTACCTCTGCATCACTGACGGGAAACCGGGATGAACAATCCGAAGGTATTATCTCGATTTATGCCGGGATTAAGGTAAGCGAGCAAGCGTCTAACTCCCTGGGCTACCACAGCATCCTTACAGAAACAGAAACCTTCAGTCATACACTTCTTTTGAACTAATTGGGCTGAACAATATTACCATGTTTTGTCAAAAATCGGGCAAAAATCGAGCCTTTAAGTTTTTACGAGCTAAAAATTGAATGAGTTTTTAAGATTTGGGTCAATAACTAATGTATAGTTCTCAATTTTGTATTTTGAGTAGAGTTCATCCATGGATGATTACAAACACTCACACCAAGTTTCACCAAAATAAACAATTTCACCAAATTTCGTCAAAATCTGTTGTGAATTGTTCCTTCACATTTAATGGTAAAACATATTTACAAACTTCAGGGACAGCAATGGGCAAACGATTCGCCCCTTCGTACGCAAACCTTTTCATGGCAGAGTGGGAACGTGAGGTGTTGCCCCTCTGTCCATTTGACCCACTTTTTTACGGACGCTTTTTGGATGACATTTTTATGGTTTGGACTTATTCTATCGAACAGTTTTGGGAATTCTTTGAAATTCTCAACAACCACCATCCTTCTATCAAACTAACCGCAAACGTGAGTGACAAAAGCATAGACTTTCTCGATACCACAGTGTTTAAGGGAGATTCCATAGCAGAAACAAATAAACTGGATATTAAAGTGTATTTCAAAGATACTGATACTCATCAACTCTTGCACAAGAGCTCCTTTCACCCAAAACATACCTTTTCTGGTATAATTAAGTCACAAGTTTTACGATTTCATCGAATTTGTACAAAATCTTCTGATTTCAACCAAGCCTGTACGATTGTTTTCTCAAAACTGAAAGAGCGTGGGTACTCTAAACGATTTTTACGAAACATAAAAAATTCCACCTTAGCACAGATAGCAGCTAAAAACAGACTTTATGCCGAAGTGCCTCCAGGTTTAAGAAGTGCTCCATGTTTGTCCAGTAGATGCAAAACATGTC